AATTAAAAATGAATGAGTCAGCTCTTTATACATTGTTCATTTTAATAATTTTTCTGTAAGCTTATTTGACCCCAAAACGTTTCAATATTTTCGATCACAATTTAAAAGCTGCCACCGCATACATACGTACATAAATATTTAATCTTTAACATGTAACAAAATTTGTACTACGCGAAAAATTTAAGTATCTCGCGAAATGAGCGAAAAAATAAAGTATCTTCCGAAAACTTGCACAAACACGTTTTACTTTTGAAGTATTTGGAACTCTACGGCAACACTGTTCATGATAGGAAAATGTTCCATGCTTTAGGCGCCTGTCACACGTTCTGTTTTTGCTGATAGTGTTGGGTCACCCAACGACCCAACGACGGCAAGTTGCCGTTGGTCAAAAACATCTATACACTTATTTAGGGCCGTTTGCACCATGTCTAGTTAATTCTAACTCCCAGTTAAACATCTTTATCGGCGTTATCGACACCCATCATATAACATGTGATCGATAAAGCAGTTAACGTGCTTAACTGAAGGATGTACCTCCAGTTAGCGTTAACTAGACATGGTGCAAACGGCCCTTAGAGGTTTCCCTTAAACTCGTAAAGTCTTAAACCGTGTAAAACTCGTAAATTTACGAGTCTTTTATGGGAACGCCCCCCTTGGGAAAGCTTAGTATCCAGCTCTTAAGAAAATGCACAAGAAAATGTTCGTGTTCTTTCTTCTGCTTGAAATAGTAGTAGGCCAGTAATTTTGACGTTTGATAATGCACCGTGAATAGTAAACAATGGCAGAAGAAGAGCGGTAAAAAGTTAACAAAAGAAACAATCTTTTGCCTATGACCAATTTGTAAGTTTATAACAATATTTTTCCTTAAATTTATTAAAGTACATTTTAATTTATTTTGACTCAATTTCAGGAGATAGTTTTCAGTATCCGAAATGGAAGATGACGAGTAAGTTTTACAGGGAAATGTTCCGAATACATAGTATCGGTAATTTTGATGCTAGTACAAAAAAAAAAAAAAAAAAACGGGCGTGTCACCTCCCAATTTTCCAACTTGAAAGAACAAAGACAAAAGAATTCAATGACTTTCCCCTCTTTCTCTTCCGACTACAGGGCTCCACAGGCAAGCCTCCTGAAGTTAGGGGAAAAACCCTTGCCTTCGGTCGACGAACACGCTCAGGGTCAAAACCCTTGCGTTCGGCCCTTGAACATGTTCAGGATCAAAATCCTATAGAAAGAATTCTCCTTTCTCTTGCCGCAGTATTATGTACTGATTTTTTCCCTGTTTTTATGAAAGTTCCTTGATTGAGACTTGTACGAGTCGAGAAAAAAAACAATGGGTCAGTTAATTATTTACTCTTTGTCCTTTCAAGACGGAAAGGTAGGAGGTGCCATGCCCACATCATTTTTTGTACCATCCTCACTATCCGATACATTCCGGAACACAATCCGTTTTACACAATATTTTAACAAATTAAAATTTTTAAATAAAATATTTTATTATATATTCTAGGTTAAACTTAATGATGTTGCTGAACTGTGGAGCCATGATGGCCGGAATTGAAGTAGAAGCTGAAATGAAGAGAAGAACGCGTAAGAAGGCGAGGTATTGGGTGAGACCATACCTCAAGGAAAGGAATGATAAGGGAAGATTCATCACCGATTTCGAAAACTTGCGAAATTCACCGAGGCTCTTCTTTGAAAATTTCCGTATGCCACCAGAAATTTTTGACGAAATTTTTGAGATGGTGGAGCCGCATCTGCTTCCGAAACGCCACTGCAGACCAAAAGATTTTATCTCCAGCAAAGCCAAACTGGCAATAGTACTAGAGTATACTTACATACATTTTGCGCAAAGTCCATTTCTAACTGGTTTTGTTTTTTGATACGCTTTTTTTTCAGATACTTAGCTTCGGGGGATTTGCAGCGTCATCTTCCATCCTGCTATCGTATCAGCAAACAGCATTTTAGCAGGATCGTCACGTGCGTTTGTGAAGCAATATGCACTGTATTAAAAAAGGAGGTGCCAGAGTGGACGGAACAAAGTCTGGTGGATATAGCTGATGGCTTTAGAAAGCAGTGGAATTTTCCGAATTGCGTTGGTGCTATAGACGGCAAACACGTCAGTATGAAAGCACCTCCAAAAAGTGGAAGTATATTTTATAACTACAAAGTAAGATTACATTATGTGCATCGGTTATATTAAAAAGTAATACGAACTTTGATTTTTGTTGTTGTAGGGATTTCATTCCATTGTCTTGATGGCTACCTGCGATGCTGATTACATTTTATGTATTTGGATGTAGGCGCTTATGGAAGTGAAGGCGACTCTAATATTATTAGAAATTCTAAATTTGGTGCGAGTATTCTTAATGACACCTGCCCATTCCCTCCCGATGCATTTATCGATGGCAAAAAAATACCGTACTTTATCGTAGGAGATGACGCCTTTCCATTGTGCAAGCGCATAATAAAGCCTTATAGTACGACGCATCTTTCGACAGAGCAAACAATTTTTAATTACAGGCTGAGTAGCGCAAGGCGGTGCATTGAAAACGCGTTTGGCATCTTAAGTGCGAGATGGCTTTGCCTTCGAAAAGTGTTACTTTGCAGACCTGATCGCGTGCAAGTGATTGTTTCGGCATGTTGCCTGCTGCATAATTTTCTTATAAATAACATATAATCCTAATGTGTTCTCTGGGTTTGAAGACAGTACCGGAAATTGGGTGCCGGGAGAATGGGAAGCAATACAGCAACAAGAATACACTTTCAATCAAGATGGACTAAACACCTACCGCGGAAGAGTTTCAGATTATGGAAAATATGTACGGAAAATATTGACAGACCATGTTAATTCAGCTAGTCGATCGGTTCCCCGGCAAAACAATGCTACATTTCTTTGAAATTGTAAGACTCTCATTTAGTTTAATTCATTTATTTGAATAAAGTTTTTTTATAATACATATATAAATTTAATACGAAGATTTTTTCTTTAAACCTAGTCAGTACTTTTCTTACTGTTGTTAAACTTTCTTTACAAAAATATAGGTGTGCGAGATTTTTACCAGTTTCGGCTTAATTCTTTTGTTAATTTAATATTTATTAATTTTTTATAAATCATAAAAGTCTAGCTCATTATATGTATAACCAAGGCGCATCTATGCAAAGTGGTGTTATTTGAACAGCTGATTGGATATTTTTGTCTCTACACTAGTACAGGAGAATGTCATCCAAGACGAAATGGTGCAACCTCAGGATGTCAACAAAACGAAATGGTGTAACTTCAGGATGTCAACAAAACGAAAGGGCGAAAATTATCTCCTATTTTCTTTCGTTTTGACATCCTGATGTACCAAAAAGCAATAACAAAATACACGGGACTTTTACTTATATGCAATTGACACCACCTTGTATGGATGCGCCTTGATGTATAACATCATAGAAAATCAACATTTAAAATTTTGTACAAAAATTATTAAGATTGAAATTCTGATGAAAATTTGGTGAATTTTCCTCATTTTTGTACAAAGCTTGAAATGTGGATGTATGTATATGATGTTATACAAATAATGAACTAGACTATTGTAAAAATTAATAAATATTAAATAAACAAAAGAATAAAACCCAAAACTAATAAAAATATATATCCGTACATGATGTATGCTACTAATTGTTGCTTGAAATTATTCCACTTTCTGTAAAAGTATGCTATTCATTCTTAATTAATTGTTGCGTTGTGTTCTTCCACTTTCTGTAAAAGAATGCTATTAATTGTTAAGCAAATGTCATCGCCAATAGACCGTGGAAGCTGATTTAACAACCAGTCAAAAGTGGATAGTGCTTGTGTGTAAGGTGAGCTGTTGGTTGTGCGCCTGCGGTTTTCCAGCAAGTCTTCTTGTTTTTTTAAAATAGTACTGAAACGGTTCCATACCTCAGGATTCTGGCTTGTGCTAGATGACCTACAACGTTTTGGAGGTGCTGGATCCTGAAAGTGTGTATATAATAGTATAATTACACCGGCACAAAAAAAGTGGTGTGTGCTTTTAACCAGACCCACCAACCGATATGTATTTCGGCCCACTGAATCCGAGTCTGAAGTCCGTTTGACTCGTTCACTCCAAATTTCAAGTAAACTGCGATTTTTTTTGTATTTTCGTAATTTACTCGAAATTTAGGAGGTTCGGATTCAGTATGTTGAAATACATGTCGGTAGGTAGGTCTGCTTAAAAGCACACACCCCGTTTTTTTGTGTGCCGGTGTTATAAACCGCACACCACATTTGTACATCGCACACCGTCTTCAAAAGAGACACAACTCAAAGTTACACGTTCGTCAGAAAATGCGAAAAACTATATCTTAGCACATGCTAATTATATGGGCAAGGAAGACTTTACCTTGTTTTTGCAACAAATTATAACAAAAATTTACCCCAGCTTTTGCTGAAAGGTAAATAAAAGCTCTGCGTACATTTTTAGTGCATAATTTCCAAAATGAAAAATTTTGAGTTGTCACTTTTGAAGAACGTGTGCGACATACATAATATTTGTTAATGATATTTATAATTGGGGTGTATTTATAGTCCAAATAAAGTCGACACTAAAGTGTGTAGCAGCACAATTTTCAATGGAATATTTGCCAAAAAAGCTACAACTTACTTTAGAACCGACTTTATTATGACTATAAATATGTCCCAGTGATACTTAATTTAACATCCACGTAAATTTATATATGAATAACTATATATGCAGTCTGGTTAAACACATTTAAGTATACACGAAAATATATAATGGCCGATTATTCTGAAACACAAACATATGTACTTACACATGTACTCACGTAATCGTACTCTGTACAACTTTCATTAGATTGTGAAACATTTGATTCCTCTGCTGTACATAATGGAGAGGTGTTTGACTCTTCTCCGAAAAGTGCTGGGGATGAGAAAATCCTGCGGAAATAATATACTATATTAATGAAGTGGTAAAAGCTGAACTTAAGTACATTTACTTTCTTTTGTGGGACACATTTGGCAAGAATGCCATTTCCTCAGCGAACTCCCAGTCAATAGCTTCAGAAAATGAAGGTTCCTCCAGCATTAAGCCACCAGCGCTACCGCTTTTGTGTTTTCGTGCCACCCTTGCGTGGTAGCGATAACTTTCCCGTAGACTTGTCCATCCGGCTTTGCATTCATTGACTAAAATAACAAAAACAATAAAATTACAAATATACAAAAACAAAGGGCTTTAATATTTACATACCATTTTTGCCTAGCGAATTGCTTATATGGACCCAAGCCTGTTCCACAGCATTTTTATTAGAATGTAATGGGTTTGTAATGTCCCATATCCTGGGCCACTCTTTAACCCCTCTTATTAGCTGCCTCTTCTCCTCCTCCGCGAAATTTAAAATTCGCTTTTGCCGCTTTGATGTTGTAGGAGTGTTTTCCATTCCTGAAATGTATACAAATACAAATAGAAATTCAATGTTTTTTACTTACTTTCTCATTCGGCTGTCACTTTCATTTAAGAAATAAATAAAACTCGATATGTTTCTTCGATAAACCTGTGTTGCCATAGTCAAATTTTATAAACAAGCGCAAGAAAAAAAGCGTACTAAATTTCTTAAGAACTGGATACTACTTCAAGAAAATTTGTCGCAAGAAAATTTCTTTGCCATTTCTTGTGTGAAATTTTATATGGAGTTTTTGCTTTTCTTGAGAGCTGGATACTAAGCTGAAAGGTGTAAAGGGGTGCGTCAAGTGACTGTTTGACAGATCAACCAGGATTTTGTTAAGAATTTTTTTTTCGTGGCATTTCCCATAACATCCCGCCATCTTGTCTCTATCACTCTTGGCTAAAATACAATTAAAAATTACGGAAATTAGCAGAAAACCTAAGTCAATACAGTTAGTGGATGAAATTCATTCATTTTATTCGCGTATTATATTTTTCATTTATTTTCATTATTTTATCATACATTTTAGTATAAAAAAAATCGGCTCCTCGGCAACACTGATGTTTATGAGGTCGTTTGCGCATTAAATTTGCCTCGAAAATTTACGAGGGGCTCGTACATAGAGCTACATACAAATTTTGACAGTTCTTTTACGAGGCTCGTAAATTTACGAGCTTTACGAGTTTAAGGGGAGACCCCTATTAACTTTATATTCAATTATGTCCTCGTTTAACTGTCGCATTTTATATTTGTAATATAAGCGCATGCACTCAATTGTACAAACAGACCTATGTACATATGTTTATACTAAAACCTAACTTTGATCCCCTCCCTTATAACTCATTTGTATATACACATGCATATATGCTCACATATCTACATATGCTAATACAACAGCGAGAAATTTTTACTTTGCTGTATCACTCTTTCATATGTGCATACATTTCATACCATATGTACCATACCTACAGTCATTACCTAACATAACTTGAACTATTACACTGAATTGCATTTTTGAAAACATTAAATTAACCAGTCTACTGTTGACAACCAAGACGCCGTGTTTAATTTCTCAATATTTTCGCTTCATTGTATTTGGCATCGTTTTAATGGCGCAGCCAAATTTTCGAAGTTAAATTCTTTTCGCTAACTTTTAGCTACCCTACAAATAGTATTTCAGTATCACAATATTTAGGGCCGGTAATAAAAATAAGCAATTGCTTTTTCTTAAAATTATAGACCTTTTACTCGATTTATTCAAACAAAAGTGAAGTAGCAGGTATGAAATTTTAAGAAAAAGCAATTGCTCAGTTTCTATTCATACGGCCCAATGTCTGATTAGCACTAATCGGAGGTAGAAGCTCCGGTTAAATACAACGACTGTTTTATGGATCACATGTTATATGCATGATGACGAAAACGTCGATAATGATGTTTACCCGGCAAGTAGTGATAACCAGACATTGAACAACCGGCCCTTATTGAACGTGTAGCATACCACATACCGCATATCACAAAATATCACAATACATATTGAACGTGTAATAGGTGCCTTAGTGGCAAAATTTGAATAACTGCCCTGCCAGCACCGGCTCACCACTTTCCCCTGAAAATCAAACGATTTAAGAGCGAAATACACCACACAAGCGGCTTGTCAAACATTCTTCAAACCTACTTTTCCCATTTCGCCATACACCATGCAAACATGACTCGTTCAAGCAAAGAATTTTAGTTTTCTTCCAGTTCGCAATGCTAAATATTGTGGTTTTCTTTCATTTTCCTCTCTTACGTCCTTACTCGGTGAAAATTTCGTTGCGAATGAGGCGATTTTGCTATACACAACGCAAGCGGTTTGATCAAACATCAACATGGCGGCCAGAAAATCAAAAAATTTTGATTTTTGCTCAAATTTCCCTCAAGCGGTTTGTCAAACCTTCAAACACCCCCATACACAGCACAAATGGCTTGAAGCAAAGGGAAATTTCGCTTGGTTTGTCAAACCGCTTGTGTGGTGTATTTCGCTCTTTACAAACACATTCACAACTTTTTAGTCATCTCACCTACACACTTACAAATTTTTTTTTCGAACTGTCAAAAAAAATGTCCCTTTGTTAGAGCTACATACCCGATAAGAATTCGTACTCTAATAAGAATTCTATGCGTTAGAGCGAGCAAGTTAGAAACATCGGAGTTTTGATGACAGTATACATACTATGAAGAAATGTCACTTTGCGAAAATTTTGAAGGTGAGGATACGTATTTAACAATTTTATTTGATTATAATGTAATTTTTCTTTTAGATTGCAAAACAGCAGCGACTTAGTCACATTTTTAAGGTATGTATTGAGACTTTTTATATGTTTATAAATTTGAATTGATATTTTTGTTTGTTTACGGGTTTGGGATTCACCATCAGCACCTTCAACGCTTGCATCTTCCATCGCCAGGAGCACCATTAAAACCTTCTGCCCTCAGCTTCTTCATCGCCAGGAGTACCACCAGTACCTTCTATGCTCAGCTCCTTCATCGCGAGGAGCACCATGGGTACCTTCCGCCCTCAGCACCTTCAACGCCAGGAGCACCTTCAAAGTGTAGGTCCAACTTGTCAAATTTTGCAAAGTTGTAAGAAAACTTAATTTTTCTGAACCACCATAAATGATTTGCAACTCTTGATATATATCAAAAGAAAGGTAAACCGATTACCTTTCTTTTGATTATAACACCGTTAAAATCGTTTTACGTTTTCATAAAAACTTTGCAACTTTTGTAAACAGCTATATATAAGCAGTGAAAAAGTGGTAAAATTTTGCAAAGTTGTAACGAAACTGAATTTTTGTGCACCATTACAAATGATTTGCCATGTTAATATATATTAAAATAAATGTAAATCGATTACTTTTCTTTTGATTATAATATTGTTAAAATCGCTTTACGTTTTCATAAAAACTTTGCAACGTTTGTAAACAGCTATATATAAGCAGTGAAAAAGTGATAAAATTTTCGAAAGTTGTAACGAAACTGAATTTTTGTGCACCATTACAAATGATTTGCAACTGTTCATATCTATTAAAACAAAGGTAAATCGATTATCTTTCTTTTGATTATAATATTGTTAAAATGGGTTAACTATTTTATAGAAATTTTGCAACTTTTGAAAACATTATATGTAAGAAGTGAAAAAGTGGTCACATTTTGCAACTGTGGTCACATTTTGCAACTGTCAATATATATTAAAAGAAAGGTAAATCGATTACCTTTCTTTTGATTATAATACTGATAAAATCGCTTAACTTTTTATTAAAATGTTGCAACTTTTGAAAAGAGCTATATGCAAAGAAGTAGTAGTAATAATAAGCAATTAAGCAACCACATATGTATGTAAAAATATCTTTATTATTAATGTTAATTGTAATTTTTATTCATAATATTGATTACTAACTATTTATATTAGATTAGCAATGTATTTTGAAAAATAAATTTTGCAAAATAAAAATCAAAACAAATTTTAAGATTTTTTATTTAAAGTTTATAAGATTATTTTGAATTCGCTGTGAAGAGAATGCAACCCTGCGCCAGCTGAAGTGGGAAATGCTAGACGAGTGCAGATATATGTTTTCCTTACGAAGTATCTGAATGAGTGCGACAGTGATGCAAGGCTCACACGTACAGGGGGAAAGTGGTGACACCAGTTTTGTCACTAGTTTTGAAGTGACCGAAACCCACGGTTTCACCAGATTTTTCACCACTTTTGGCTGGCAGGGTGGCTAACCAGAATGTAGTACCACACCCACAAGCTATTTCGATAGCTACATCAGCAATAATACACCACAACCACAGCTACATATTATGGGCAGTTTAGAGAATTTAGAATATTTTAACTTTTGATAGCTCTTGCTACATACCTTAGCTTCACCATTCTGGTTAGACAGTAATACCTGCTTGTTTGATGCTGCATAGAAGGGATGTCAGTGACAAGAATACATCGATGTTTTTCGTTGATTTGATGCATCTTGCGCAATCAGGCGCGGTACGGTACAGGGCAGTATAATCCCGTACGATACGCGGTAACGATATACGCAAAGGAGCTCACACAGGCGCGGTGCGGTATAGTACAGTACAGCAAGAAACATTGTTGCCATGCGAAGAGTGATGAGGTCAGGTTAGCGGCACTATACACTATTTTGTAACGCATTCGTTTTTGTAAACTAATATTTTTTACTGACACTTTTTCCACTTTAATTTGAAGTTCTTATTATGATTTTTTGTTAGTATTAATGTAGTATTATTAATTTATTATCTAATGTGGTAGAATTCTAGCTCTTAACTGCAAATCTGCTTACGATATATCTGCGTATACCGCGCGGTCAACTGTGCACACTGCGGTATAGTTATGTACCGCCTTGTACCGCACTTCCAATACCGGGTCTGTTTGAGTGCTCCCATATACCGCCATGGTATTTGGTACCGCATATCATACGGGATTATACTGCACTGTACCGTACCGCGCCTGTTTGAGCAGCCCTTAAAAGTGCACAGATCGATGCCTCGATGCATGGGTTTTTTCAGATAACAGGGGTTTTCACGAAATCTTGCAAAGCCTTTACACGTTGCACGGATTGCATAACTTGCAAACACTTAACAACATTTCCTATTGATGCAAAGTATGCAACTTCAAATCCAGGTATATATTTTCCAAGAAAGCGTAGCAAGATAAATGCAATCCTGTGCTGTTTTGTTGTTGTTCTTCTTCTTATTTCACTCACTTCAAGTTTTTTGCTGTATCTTGTTATTGTATTTGACACAGAATTTCGCTGCTTACTATCTATGCATGCTACAACTTTGCAATGGGGGCCCTCGCACTCTTGCAAATTTGGAATAGCAGTTTTGCATTTGCAAGACTTCGAGAATAACACAAATGTTTCACTACAAAATATGTTATTAGCAAAATTGTAAAAAGTTTTTTATAAATTAATACAACTTAGCTAATAATGTTTCTAACGGAACTTTTTGGAGCCATTTAAATATC